CACCAGAACAGCTTTCCCCACGGGGCTGGCAGCTCGCAGGCAGGGAAAGCAGAAGAGAAGAGGCAGAGGGTTGGGCAGCTTCGGGTTGTACGTGAGTCACTGGCAGAGCACCAGCCTTCCCTTCCCCGGGCACCTGCCCGCCTGGAGCTGCTTCCCTGACCGAGGAGCTCTTGCAGCAGCTCCCTGCGGTGAGGGCCAGCTCTGTCCTGCCCCCGGCCGGGGACCTGGCCTCACAGAGGATGCTGAGCTGGGGCATCCCTCCACGGGCTTCCCTTCTCCCGCACCTCCCCGCCGAGGAGGAGCCATGGGGCCGCCCAGCCACGGGCACCACACTCTTTGCCCCGACCTGCCCGGGCCGGTAGCTCACCAGCTGCAGCGTCAGCCTGAAAATTTTTTTCCCTTGCCAACTGTGCACGTGTTTGTGTGGTGCTGGGCGAGTGCCCAGGGACAGCCATGGGAAGCCTCTCCCGTAGGCTCGGGTTCGGCAGGGGCATGGTATGCCCGGCCGCCGGGCAGCATCTCTGCGTGCCATTCCTGCCTGGATCCTGCCCGGATCCTCCGTGCTCAAAGCAGGAGGCAGAGCAGGGGCACGGGGAGACATTGGCACTGGGCTTGGCTCGGGAAGGGCTGCATCCTGCGGGTCTGGGTCGCTGTGCCCGGTGGGATGGGGCTTGCAGGAGCCGGAGCACGTGAAGGGGAGAGGTGGTGATGGAGGGATCTCCCAGTGCTACCCTTGTGCGGGTAAAAGTTGATGTGTTATTTCGTAATTGCATTATTTCATGTAACACGTGTAGTTTGAGTGTCTGCAGTGAGGGCAGAATTTGGGCAGCCTGTATCTGGCTATGGTTAGCATTATTTAAACCACTGAATCCAGTAACGTGTCATACGCTGCGTTAAAAATACCACCTGGTCGGGATCCTGGTGTTGCAGAGGTCACGTAACAGGCTCATCTCCCCTCCTCTAAATCCTGAGATAGGTCACTTGGTGAACAAAAGCAAGTTGTGTCCACGTTAACCTGCTTGGAAAGGCCCAGGGTGGAAATGGATGTTTGGGTCGGAGCAACGGGCGGGCTCGTCTGCTGTCCCACCTCCAGGAGCAGGGGGTTAGGGAAGACCATGAGAAGCAGAGGGGCTGGAGATTGGTGTGTCCCCCTGCTCTCAGCACCTCAGGAGACCTTCCCGCACCCCGAGAAGCAAGATGGGGACCGAGGGCAGCAAGAAACCTTGGGGACTTTTTGCTCCCATCTCTCATCGGTGAATAAAAGCAAAGCATCAGAGGATGAGACCTGCTGGGTCTAATTTTTTTGTCCCCCCCGAGGACATGGTGACCAGCTCTCCATCTCCAGCCGCTGCTTTCTCTGCCTAACGAGTCGGTTCATTTTTCAAGAGAAGATGCGCGCTTTTGGGAAGTTTCCTATGCATCAAGCACACTTCGGCATCGCGTCATTTAGCAGCGAGGAGGAGAGGGGAAGGCTGTGTTCCTGGTGCAATTTCAGTTCAGTTATAATTTCCATTAGGCAAAGGTTGACAGGGATTAAAACAGAAGGCAAAAAATTCCCTTGCAGCAGCGCCGACCTCCCTAGCAAAATAAATAAATAAAAAATTATCTCTGAAAAGGTTAGGTAAGAGCAATGGGCCGGCGTTGTTAGCAGCTGTGTGAGAAATTGTGCCGTGCCCCACTTCTCCTCGCCAGGAGCGGGAGCAGCCGGTGGCTCTGGCCCGGTGGGACCGGTGGATGCTGGGGAGAGGCTGGGTTTGGCTGCCCTGGGGAAGCACGTTGAAAAGGCACCGGGGAGAATTGAGGAGCGAAATGCAGATTTCACCCTCCTACAAGCTGGATTTAACGCCTGGGAGGTGACTCCCTCTATTTTCCGTCAGCCTTCCCTTATTCAGCCACGTGTGTGACCCCTGTGACGCTGGGCTTGGGGTCCTAAGTGGCTCGGCAGGGGTGACGGCAGTGTCCTGGTTGTTTGGGCTCTTGTGTTGGCTAACACAAGATATGGAGGTGGTGGATATTGAAAGATCTGGAGGTGCTGGAGCGGGTGCAGAGGAGGGCAATGAAGCTGGTGAAGGGCCTGGAGAACAAATCATATGAAGAGCGATTGAAGGAGCTGGGACTGGAGCTGGAGGCTGAGGGGAGACCTCATCACTCTCTACAGCTACTTGAAAGGACTATAGAGAGGTTGGTGCTGGTCTCTTCTCACAGGTGATCAGCGATAGAACAAGAGGGAATGGCTTCAAGCTGCAAGAGAGTAGGTTTAGGCTGGATATTAGAAGAAGTTCTTCACAGAAAGAGTGGTCAGAGACTGGAACAGGCTGCCCATGGAGGTGGTTGAGACACCATCCTTGGATGAGTTTAAGAGTCGTTTAGATGTGGTGTTGGGGGATATGGTGTAGGGGAGAACTTTGTAGAGTAGTGTTGGAGTAGTCTTTTCCAACCATGATGATTCTGTGATTCTAACAGGTCCCAGCGAGCTGGACTTCTCGGGTCCCAGTGCTGGTGGCACTGCTTTCCTTAACCCTGATGCCTTTTGCTCCCCTCCTGCATCCATCGCAGCTGGGTGCTGCTCCGATCCTCTCCGTGTGCCCTTCCCCGCAGCCTGGTGGTGCCTGGCACCTCCCGGGCGCTTCCCTCCACCCCTGGGCTCTCTTTCTGCGATCCTGGTCGCTCGTGGGCGTTGGGAAGCTCCCAGCCCAGGGCAGCGGGAAGGCGGGTGATGGGGATCCCGGCTGCGGCCTGCATCCCGGCGGGGCCGGCTTCGTCGTGGCCCCCCCCAAGCCGGCGGCGCGGCGGTGGGAGACGTGCCCGTGCGTGGTGGGGCCGGCTGAGCCGGTGGAGCCGGAGCTGCCCTGGCAGCCCGCCTGCTGCTGCACCACCCCATCCAGGTCAGCCCGTCTGCCCGGCTGCCCGCCGCGGGGAGAGCCGCCTGCCTCGGCAGCGCCCGGGCTCAGCGTGCCGGGTCCTGCCAGCCGTGGGGCCTGCTGGGGCTCCCTCAGGGATGAGGGGGGGATGGCAGCCATCGCTCCCCGGAACCTGCCCCAGCTGGTGGGAGGGGGCAGGGAGTGTGGGAGCCATTGGCCACCTCTAGGTAGCCCCTGGCCACCTCTCAGTAGCCCCCGGCCACCTCTCGGTAGCCCGGATGGGGCCGGCTGTGCCAGCATCCTGCATCCAGCGGGCATCCCTGTCTCCCCTCGGCGGGATGCTTCAGGGACGGGTGCTGGCTCGCAGAGGTTGTGTGCCCCGTTGCACACCCCATCGCACCCCTCCCTGGGCTCCTCTTCCCTTGCCCTGGGGGCTGTGGGGGGCAGTGGGGCTTTGGGGTGGTTTGATGGGGCCGGGGGTGGGGGCTGGTGTGTGAGGGGCGGGGGGGGGCCCGGGCCCCGCCGCCCCCTCCCCCCCCCCCTCTCCCCCCTCCCCAGCTCACCAGCTGGGGTGTCCCCTTTGGGCACCATCCCCAGAGCCCAGCCAGCTGAGAACTGGCAAACTATGGGCACCAGTGGGAAGGCCCTGAGATGGGGCTGGACCCCCTCTGGTTGCTGATCTGGAGGGCTCAGCCCTGACCCTGTGGGTCGCATCCTGCATGCCTGGAGCTGGGGGGGGGGGAAGGGGCTGTGCTGGCATCGGGGGGCAGAACAGAGGAGCAATGGGGCTGTGCTGGTGGGGGCTTGGTTCATCCTGCATCCTTCCTCCTCCTCCTCCTCCTCGCAGCAGGGCCCTTGCACGCCCGCCAGGCGCTGGTGGCGGCGCAGGAAGCAGGCCCGGGCGTAGGGGGGCGCGATG